TGTTTTTTTTTTTTTTAGGTGAGGCAGGCTTTCCCAAGCCATCATTCTTTCACTCAAACAATACATTTGATGTAAAATTGACAAGAGGTCAATCAATAGGAAACTCAAGACTGTTGAGTTAGGCAATCTGTACATGCAAAAAGACAACTTTGTACTGCAGCATTGTTGCTGTGTGGATATTTTGTTTTTTCATTCCTTTCATGCTATTTCGTAAATAATATTGCTGGATCATCTTATTCAGGAATGACTTACAAAGCACAACTCAGCTCTGAAGCAAACCATTTCAATTATAGATGTTTTAACAGGTATTCATATTTCCCTATAAAAGTAAAAACGTTTTGCTTCCTTCAAAGTTTGCTTCCTTCTTGCTATTCTTCAAAGTTGTTCCCTAGTTAGGGGGTGGAGGGATTTTCCTTTTACACATCAGTTATGGCAATATGAGGATATTGGGTCATAAAATCACTAACAAACTCATCTGATGTCCCTACTCTCTGGTGTGTAGTGGAGGTACTGAGCATCATTGCTTCTGTGAGCTGCTAGAGTGGCAAGGGAGAGGAAGGATAGTCCAGAGCGCTACCCTAGGATTTGGGAGATCCATGTTAAAGTCTGTGCTCTACCACAACTTCCTGTGTGATCTTGGGCAAGTTTCTTAGGCCCAGATCCCCCAAAGTCTTTTAGACATTGCTCTTCTCGGCTTTGTAATGAGCAGCATTCCCTAACTGGACAATCTATTACAGTATCATTGGTGTGGGTGGATGGTGTGATGCATGACTCAACCATTTTTTGAGCTTCAGCAGACTTTTGGGGTGGGGGGGAAAAGTTGGGGGGGGGGAAGGTTTGGACATAGTTTAGTGCTCATGAAGAGTGTTGGACTAGCAGTCCGGGTGGCTGATGACTGAAATCCTCTGTTTATCCACAGACCACTACAGTATAGACACTCGGCAGTGCCAGCTTTCTCATACTGTCTTGCCAAATTGCTTCAACCCTGTTCTGGAGAGACCACACCTAAGAATTTGTATGTTCTCCATGCCAACCTTCACCTCTCTACCGGAACTGAACTCAAGGTGCCAGTTAAGGATCATTAATAGAGATGCTTTCATAATGCAAACACCTGGTCCCTAAGGACTGGCTTGAATCTACCTCACAAATCAGACAAACCTCTAACAATGGAGGATGAATACAAACCAGTAACCTAGAAGTGAAAGGTATCATTATCCTATTACCAATCACTTGAGTCATTTAGTTCCCAACCTGTTTGCATAATGTCTTAGCTATTGTATTTCATGTAATGTCTGGAGAGCTTTCATAGACACAGTGAACTACTGCATAACGTATTTTTCAATTTCATACAACAGATTTTTCCAACAAAACAAAGATTTCTGCCATGTGTTATGCACTCCGGTGTATATTTTTCTCCTGCACAATTGCAAAATAAACAATGTAGATTGAAGTCATTCATCCTTTTATGTATAACTGGATATCGGCAATAGGATCCATTCACATGATGCTCCTGAGTATCTTGTGCTGATTCAGTTGCAGGATCTATTATATTTAGGATAATTTTTAGGACTAGCTTTTAAAATAAAATACAGTTCATTTTCTTTCTGAGGTTTGTGGTGGGAAGAGAAGTTTTGAACTTGTGCCCAAAGATAAGGAGGCACAACTGGGAAACAGTTCCTTTCAGTAGTTGGGGTGGGATTCTACTACTGAAAAACAAGCAGTTTTATGAACAGTTTTAATGCCTGCCTTTATAACTTACTGAATGGATGGTTATCTAGTGTATTATCTGAGCCATCACATTCGCCTTTGACACTTTCATTTACATAATTCTAGGGCCATTGTGACAAAGCCCCACAAAACCATGGGAGTGCACAGTTAAAGATGGCAGAGACTTACTATCGCCTATGCTTTCCAACACTGGGCCATGATTTTGTGCAATATGCAAGCTGTTAAGGTTACTCCCATTTTGCATAGCAGGATTTAAAAGTCTGCTTTCACGGTTCCCCCTTATCTCTGCACATTCCTATTTTTGTTGGCTTGGGACATAATCTTAAATGCTTCTTGTAAGTAAATTATTTCCATCCCCTCCCTCCAGTAATTCACAGGCTTTTTTTAAAAAAACTGTGTGCGTTAAAACAAAGCGTCCACTGTCAGAAATCTTTAGCTGTAATTTTACTTTAGGTCCAGATCCAATAATGAATACAAATCGAATAGCACATCTGAGGCTGAAGTAGCTCTCTGAAACCAGTGCCAAAGTGTTTGCAGAAGTGGGAACTAAGTAATTTCCCCCTTTTCCTCTTCACAATCCCTGGCTTAGCAGCCCAAGTATCCCTTGAATCAGTCAAGCCAACCCAGAACCACCGTGCAGAGGAGTAAAGAGCTGTATCTCCTTTATTTCCAACAACAGAGGATTGATTCATACATATTACCATCATTACAGTTTTACAACATAGTTCAATATTAATAACATTTCAGATGTATTGTGTTATAACAGAGACTTAACAGATCATAAAATGATGAGTTTTGTAACTTAAATACATTTGATAGATTAAATGCAGATTTTCGTATCAGGTATATGTGCAGCAGATTTTATTAAGTGTAACAATCATATAAGAGGATATTTTTCCCCAGTGGAAATCCTCCCACCCCCTTCTAAAAATAGTTCTGAACAATAGAAGGGAAATGCCTCTTGCAATTTATGAAATAACCTGATGTTCACATTCTGCTTTGTGGCTAAACATTGTAGATATTGGTTTTGTTGAATGCTGTCTACCCAGTGTATTCAACTAAACTGTTGCATAAAAGAGACAACTAGAAATGAATGGGTAATGATAAAATTAATGTGGATCTTTTAACTCATTGTTAACTTTACTGATTTCTAATCAAATGGAACATTTTTACTTATTTAGACCCCAATCCAGTCAAGCACCTAAGCATGTGCTTAACTTTAAGTACATGAACAGTCCTGCTGTCTTCAGCAGGATTATTTACCTGTTCAACTTTAAACATGTACTTAAACACTCTGCTGTATCAAGGCTTTGTGCACTGAAGCCTGCCAGATGAACCAAGTACGTTCAGGTCATTTATCCCTATATCGTCTGAACTGGGGAAAAAGCTAATGTTGAGAGACACAAATAGTGCAGGTTTAAAGTAGATAGTCTATTAGTTCTTTGCTTTGTCACTGCTTACAAGCTTACTTTATTACAGCAGTTAACAGGAATTAAAGACAATGATATGTACATCAAATAAAAGTGCACTGTTAAAATAATAATATATTTGTAATGTATTTTTAAATGTATCTCTATGTGTTTCTCTGCATGGGAGGTAGGCTACTAAGCACCCATTAGATGCCTATCTGGATCTTTAGGTGCCCAAATTCTTTTAAAAATCCTGCCCTAGATCTGTTTTTAAGATGGAACTTAGACATTTTGAAAATTTTACCCCTACTTTACTTTGAATTATTTGTTGTTTTTTTAATGAACTTTCCCGCACATTTCCAACCTGCAGGGGAATGTTTACTTGCCTCTTAACACTGGATTGAATATTTTAGAAAATGAATTTGTGAAAACATTTTCAGTCATAGTAGTTTAGATACCTCCACCCTTACCTGACTGGAGTCAATGGGACTATTCGTACAGCTAGATACTACTCACCATAAGTCCAGGTAGCAGAATCTGGCCCATTAAGGATTATAACCACCCTGCATATTTCTAAATTTATATTTGGCCTTGACCTAAATTTGAGCCTAAACTAAGTTCACAAAGTGGACTAAATTCATCTCTTCTGCTGCAGGAGGATGCAAATTGCATGCCCCTCTATGCCAGGCAAGGGGCACCTGCTGCCCAGATGATAGGGAAATGCCCTGCTGCAAGGGGGGATATTGTTTACAGAAGTGCTTTCCCCAGGGTTCCTCTGGAATGGTGCTTGAAGCATGAAGAGGAATACGAATGTTTCGCACATAAATACTTAAATCTGGCACATAAATACTTTGCCACAACAGTGCCATGTGAATGCCTGTTCTCACTTTCAGGTGACATTGTAAATAAGAAGTGAGCAGCATTATCTCTTGTCAATGTAAATGAACTTGTTTTTCTTAGTGACTGGCTGAGCAAGAAGTAGGACTGAGTGGACTTGTAGGCTCTGAAGTTTTACATTGTTTTGTTTTTGAATGCAGTTATGTAACAAAATATAATTCTACATTGTAAGTTTCACTTTCACGATAAAGAGATTGCACTACAGTACTTGTATGAGGTGAATTCAAAAATTCTGTTTCTTTTGTTTATCTTTTTTACCATGCAAATATTTGTAATAAAAATAATAATATAAAATGAGTAGTGTATGCTTTGTATTCTGTGTTGTCATTGAAATCAATATATTTGAACATGGAGAAAAACAGCCACAAATATTTATAATAAATTTCAATTGGGATTCTATTATTGTTTAACAGTGCAATTAAAAACTGCGATGAATCATGACTATTTTTTTTAATCTAGTTCATTTGTGTTAATCGCATGAGTTAACTGTGATTAATTGACATCCCTATTTTAAATCTTATTAAAATATGTAAAATATGTTTGGCCCACACAAGGTTGTGCTTAGGTTTATATGGCCCTCCTGTGTAATAAGGTTGGGCACCACTGCTGTAAGCTATAGGAGAGGTGCTTTGGGAGCACCTGCATCTACCCTCTAGGCAGTCTTTCTAACTACCAGGCCCTGTCAATGGTAGCCCAGCAGAAGCTGATAGAGGCTGCAGCTGAATATAGCTCCTTGATTTTATCTTTGAAAAGAATCTAAAGACCAATTACTTTATGTTACAGTGTCTTGTATTTGGGTTTTTATTTTCCACTGTGGAAGCTTTTGTTTGGCTTTCCACAGCAAAAACTGGCATGAACAATAGACCACCTTTGTTATCCCTCAGAGCATAAGAATTTAGAATCATTTGGTGTTGCCTGGCCTGATTTCACACAGTGAGATCCTGCTGTTGTGTATTTGGATTGCAATTCATTCCTAGGGATGGAGCAGCTATTTATGTGGTTGTGCTCGGAAGCAGATCTGTTGCCAATCAAATTTCTCCTAAAAGGTTTAATGCTTGTAGTAAATAGGAGGAGCATCAGCAACAGCACAGAGTGCAGCAAGCAGATCTAATGCAAAGAGAGGAGAAAACTTTAGGAAGGGTGAAGAAAGAAATACAGTTACTGGAGGGGAAAATGCTTCTTAAAGGAAAAAAGATATAAACCAATGATCATACAGTTCATCATTATTCAAGCAACATGTCACGGCCAACGAACAGAAGACAAGATAATCACAAAATAGTAAGGCTTATTTAAATATATAAATATTACTTCACATGGACTTATAGCTAGCTATTGTTTTATTGAAGTGTATTGTTTTGTACAGTCATGATGGTGGACTAGCTAGAAAGTAGAAATGTGAACCAAATTTTAGTAGGTCTATGTACCGAGGGATGAATCTGTCAATTTTAGAATGGCTGCACTGAAGACATTTATGGCTTCAATGAAAATATTAACCCTCTTGTGAGCAGACAATGCTGTGACTTAAAAGAGAATGTTTTTTTGTTTGAGTTTCTTACAAAATCAGATCTTGGAATGAAAAGTATTTGTGAAACAATTGACATTAACATTTGCTTTTGAAACATTCTAATTTCTCCTGACTGTGACTGTGATATGAAATGTTTTTCAGCCAGCTCTAGTCCGGAACATGATGAATCCAGATGGCTGAACTCTGCACTTAGCATGAGCCATTCTTCAGTTGCAGGGACAGATGGTTTAGGCAGGACTGCCGCATATGAGCTGCCCAGCTGGAGAACTAAATATGCCTCCTTGCTGGCGGACCACACCCTCTTGTTGCTGTGTGGTGCTTGGCCAGCACTGAGGCCAGTCCCCTCTCCTAGTGCTCGGGAGCGATCCTACATTCCTGCTTGCATGAGAGGGACAGGAAATAGTGCACCTGCACTTCACAGGGTAGAAGCTGGTCCTTAAGGCCAAAATCTGCTCCCATTGAAAACAATGTTAAAACTCATACTGATCTGGATTTGTCCCATAATGAGGAACTATTGATTGCACAATACAGTATTACATCTAGTAGGGGATACCACAGACAAAAGGATGCCTTTTGCTGTTCCAACTATTATGCTTGCTCAGTATTTTGATCATATGCAGTATCTGTTAATATTCTCCTAATATTCCAAAGTCCACTTTAAAGACTTGGCGTGGGAAACTATCCCCGAAGCATTTCTTACACTGCATGAGCATTAAAAAGAAGAAGAAGAAGAAGAATATTCTGTCCCATTAAAGGGCTAGAAAGCCAAGGTTGTCAATTATTCTCTAGTTCTCTGACTGTGATTTTAAGGGGTAAAATAGCCAACTATTGGAAACCTAAGAACACTTGGCTCTAACTTTTTGTTCAGGAGCCTGCCAGCCAAATGTGCATGTACAAGGATGTTCATTTTTGGATCTTCCCATTCATTAACTTTGCCCAGAAGTATAGATTGGAAGTTTCCTTATTTCTGTTAGGAACTTAAGGTGAATTGTCTTCAATTCTACCAACCCATTTTATATATGATGTAGTTTTTAACTTCTATTCAAAATTACCCTCAATGGGTTCTAGTTGGCACAATGGTGTAGGGCACTAGCCTTCTATTTTGAAAAATAAGGCTTGGGTCATCAGTGAAAATGAATTTGTCCGTACTAGTCTAGTCTCCTGTGAAAAGGTCTGGATAACAGCTCATGCACCAAATCTATTGTTTTCAGGCACCACAAATATTTGTCTGTCTCCAAACCAGTGACAAAGTCTGTCTTAAAAGAGCTCCAGCCAGGGTTAATATTTTTTCTTGAAAAGAATGAACTAACCAACAATAAAAATGTGACATAGATATAAGGAACCTAAATAGCAGAGTAGGACAAAAAGAGACTATTTCACCTTGGCTCCAAGTACTAGCTGAGATGTTTTAATTACTATTCTTCAGATAATTTGTATTGTGGTAGCAACTAAGAACCCTCGTCTGGGACCCCATTGTGCTAAGAGCTGAGGCTTATTCCTGCCAATGTGATTTAAATTTCTGTTTAAAGTTTGAACTGCATTTACATTTCAGTCCATCACATTTTGCTTCTTTCTTTCTTTCAGCAGCCACATAAAGAATTGTGTGAACCCTTATAATTTTTCTTTACTTCTTTTTATCTTGTAGGATTGGCATTTACCAAGCATCTCATCCTCTGCATCAGCACATCACATGGTATGCAGCAAATCTAGATTACTATATTTCCTACCATTCCTTTGGATTTTTCAGCAATTCACGTGGAGTGCAAGGTGTTTCAAATATAAACAAATATCATTTTCATTAAAAAAAGTCATCAGAACTTTTCCTCCAGGACAGAATTGTTCTGCTTTTTCTAAAAGTCCCAACAAAACATTACATTTGACATATTTCACAAAGTCCTCTACTAATGAAGGAACAATCCAGCAGGTGGAATTTCATTCTTGTCATAAAGGGCTCAATTGTGCTCCTGTTTTACTCAGCTGAGCAGGGTTGAGTAAGACCCTCAATTGAAGAAGGCCTACCCCAATTCGGGGTCTGGATCAGTTGTGATGCACTCATCCCTGCTCTCTGGATACTCCCCTCTATGAGCAAGTGGCTGGGAAGAGCTCAGCTCCACACTGCCTCTATTCACTGACTAGAGCAGAGAGCCAGTCAGAAGGGGGAAAATAAATGGCACCCTTTCAAGGATGGAAGTAAATTGCACCCACTCCCCCAACCCAGAGCAAAGGAGGAATTGTGTCCCAAAGTCTCTGAGACACTTGGTCTTCTGGGGCTACTCACAGGTTGGTGCCATTTACTCACCAACCTGTACTCAGGACTGTGCCTAAGAGCACAATCCAATCCCTTGCCTACACACAAAAGTTGTACCACTTTAACAGCACTAGTATAGTTAAAAGGGGGGCAGCCCCTTACTGTGGACGCAGTTATATCAGTATAAATGTACTTATATCAGTATAGTTATTCCCATACTGGTAAGGGAATAAATTATACTGGTAAAGGCAGCTTTATACTGATATAACTGCATCCATACTAGGAGTATAACTATTTTGGTTAAAAAAAGCACACCCCTAGCCAAATTTGTTATACGGGTATAACTTTCAAATGTAGACCGGGCCTAACCCTTAATTTTCTCTTGTAATATGTACACTTAGATGTACAAGGTGGCAGGAGCCCTTATACTTGACTTTACACGGCGTATTGTTCGGGTATATGTCTGAGCAATCCTGCTCTCTTCCTAAGAGCCCAGGTATGGTATTAATAGGGACGTCTCACAGTCATGGAAGGCCCCTGGTGCGTTGGTGTAAACCAGCAAGCACAGAACCCAGTGCTTTGTAGAATTCTGAACATTCTATAGCGAACTGCATGGCTCCATGGAAACTGGGTGTTGGTGTCTCTGAGTTTGTCTACACTGGAAAAGTGGTCAAGGTTAGCTAGCATGTTGTAACTAACCTCAGCCTTTTCCCTAGTGCAGATGCAGGGTAACTCCTTCTACCTCAATTTAGTAGGTCAAGGTCCACTTTTCCTAATATACATAAATCATCTGGGAACAACCAGATCCCCTTGAATATACCATCTCTTCCTGGCCAGTTCATTCTTTTGCCTTCCTACTTTGTTGATTTGACATAAGGATTTTAGAAGCAGGTAGTCTTAGCAGCAGGACAGACTTCTGGCTTAAAAGTGGAAAGTATTAGATATATTTATACGTGTGACAGAAACAGCGTCAGAATAAAACTCTTCAGTTCAGGAATCTGGAGGTGCAATAGCACTAAGAATGGAATAAGAGCTACTGATGAAAAGAATTTAAAATATTGGCCTCTTATTAGATATCTGAAAGAGAAGGAGAAGACTCTGGGACTGATTCTCATCCGCTTCTTCTTGTCATTTACACCTGTGCAGAACAAGTGCAAAGTGGGTGTAAAGTGCTACTGTTCTGAACTGACCACTTTCTGTATCTATTTTGCATTCACTGTGCGCAGATGTAAATGACAAGACTCAGAACCATTGTGCCTTTTTTATTGCAATTGAATTTCACCATCCAGGTTGCTGCTACTCTTGTAAAAGACCTAATACTGTATTGCTTCAATAATCCTGAATGCCATTAGTCTTGGATTTACTTTTTTGCATTATAACTCTTCTTCCTTCCCAAATTCAAACGTGATGCTACAGTCATAAAAAAGAATGAGATTAGAAATACCACAGTCTTGCAAATGGTACTCCATGCATGTGTAAGGGGTGTCTGCACAGACCCCTTTGCAATACTGGGGCCTAAGTGAGGGGTGATAATAAAGTAAGGTATACTGAATCCACACCCTGGATATCACTGGCTGTGTGTCCATAGACAGAAGGTTCCTATAAAAATAAATGTTGGGCTTTTTATTCCAAGACACTGTATGAAGTTAGGAGGAGCAATAAGAGTTTGATCCTAGTTTTTTCATTCTCAAACCATATCCACGCTCATTTTCCCCTTTGTTTGACAGAGCAGAGAACTCTTTGTGCTTACTTATGGAGCTTTGGTAGCCCAGCTGTGTAAGGACTACGAAAAGGATGAAGATGTGAACAAGTATCTAGACAGAATGTAAGTAACAAGTTTATTCTGCATTACACATCCAGTTTAGCATTAGTGATGTCCACCTACCTGTATATTTTCTTCCATCCTCTTATTGTCTATTATTTGTTGAATAACAGAATTGTATTTGGGACCATGCAAAGTACAAACGAAGACAGAGTCCTTGACACAAAGGCACTTACAATAAACTTTATCACAAGGTGGTTCAAGAGAAGAGCCCCGTGTCCTGTGCAAGCTCCTAGAACCCATCAGCCCGGTACAGACCCCCTTTGATGATTGTTTTCCATGGACATTCTAGAAGATAAGTGGAATGGCAGGAATGTTCACCATGGCAATGAATTTTAAACAAATAAGCTCTTTGGGGGCAGGGGTGGTCTTTTTGTTCTGTGTTTGTACAACACCTAGCAACAATGGGGTTCTGGTCCATGACTGGGGCTCCTAGGGATTACCATCATAGAAAACAATACATAATAATATTGTAGAAAATTTGCCAGAAGCAATTTTTGAATTAGTTATCAACAAAACCTGATTCTAAGAGTTAAGCTCATCCATTCGGAAAACAGAAACATACCATGTGACCGACACATCCAATCAAAACAACTAGAATTTTGAATATCAGACACACAATAAACTGCTTGCAAACAAGTTACAGGCCAATAGTTATTCACAATAACTATTCCAGACAGCACCTGCTTGAGAAAATCGTGATTTACTCACAAACAGAAAAAAAATCAATAAAACTCATTGAATCGATCACTTGATATTAATTCTTCGCCCAGCCCCAATGAGTATCACGTGTTTCAGCACATTTGATGTAGGTTCTTTGCAGGTTCTGTGGTAGAAATAGGAAAAGGTTCACACTGGGAGGTGTGGAGTCCTACTTTACTTCTCTCCTACTACATGAGCTTTTTCCTACCAAATTGTACTCTTTTCCATTTGATGAACAAACTCCTCCCTGGGTTAACACCGTTGGTTTAACATCATTAACACAATTATATACATTTAGCCCCTTGTGCTTTTACTCACGTTTTTGCCAGCAGGGCTATTTTGATTTACTTCTCTGCTTATGCAGCACTATCAGTGAAGATGAAAGCAGCACAGCTTTGGAAGCAAAGTTTATAACCTAGGAGGTCCCATACGCATAGATATAATAATATGGCTGTTGCATTTCTGTTACACACAGGTTGTCAGACAGCAACTTGTCACTTCAGTTTACAGATTGTTTTATGGATCTAAAGGTTAAACTTAAAAATAACCTGAGCACTCTCTGGTATTGGTGAGGTACATATTTTAATAGCGGCTAATGAAATATTTACTAGGGCACCAGTAATGGTGATACTCAGCTAAATGTGCCAGCAATAAATAAATATTTCATGGCTTGCCGGTACATCACACAGTGTTCTTCTGAACCTTAGTCTTCCAGAAAGCTTTTTGTTATAACATGGCATTGGCTACGGTATAGGCTTCTTGTTATAGGGCCCAATCTGAAATCAATGGAACCCTTTCCACTGACTTCAGTGGGCTTTGAATAAGGCCCATAATGAACAGTGAAAGAGATTCAGAAACAATTAAGTTTAAATGGATATAGAAAAAAATCAATGAAAGCATTTCTGAGCTTGGCCCAGGTGCTTTCATTTACATTCATTAACTTTTCCTTCTACAAAGCCTCCTGTACAATATTTGCCATAATTTAGGAATGGAAGGATTTTACAAGCTTTCATCCTTTTTATATTGTCCATCTCATTTCTCTGGAATTTCAGTTCTGTGTGAACAGTGTAACTGAATTTAAATCTAGTGAAATGGAAAATGCGTTTTGCCGAACTGCAACTAATTTTGTGCAGAAGTAGCATAACAGAGACTGTGGCTATTCTTTTATGGTGATGGGAGATCAAGAAGAAGGAGCATATTACGAGGAGAAAAGAGAGACAAGAAAGTAGAGAAGGAATTTCAGAGGAGGAATGAGAGGAGAAGGAGAAGAGAAGGGAGGATAAAGAGAAGGGGAGTGGAAGAGAATGGGGAGAAGGTATATAATGATAGAAGAAGGACAACGGAGGAGGGACAACAGAAGAGGAAGAGATGCAGGGGTGGGAGGACCTACTCATTTCTTGTGTGAGCCATTTCAGAGGGATTGCAGGGGACAAGACTTCTGCAACCTGCAATTTCTGTGGCAGGCAGGTGAGCCAAGATGCCCAAGACAAATTGGACTCTGGCCCCACCTGTTGGGCAACCCAAGTTATGTGACGTGATGGGGAAGAACCTTTTTTCTCAATAAGAGACTAGTGAAACACCCTTGATAAATACATTAATACCACAGTCATGTCAGGACTCAGGGAGTTCCAAGTATAAGGGGTTGATTTCTTCAATTATTATGTAATTATTTTTTGCTAACCAATTTGTTGTTTCACACATGCTTCAATGAACCTAAAATTGACAAATGTCACTGGAAGCAAATGTCAAGAAAAGCATGAGTCAGTCCCTCAGACTATGCATGGGTATGTCAAACCTCCATACTTAGAGCAATGAGACTACTACTAAATTCCCTCTAAGCTGTGGGGTGTGTGTGTGCGTCTCTCTCTCTCTCTCTCTCTCTCTCTCTCTCTCTCACACACACACACACACACACTGTGTGTCTCTGGCTCACACACAAACTGTGTGTGCTTGTCTCTGTCTGCATCTCTCCCACCCACTGTGTGTGTCTGTCACACACACCCACACACACACAGAACGTGTTCTGTTTCTCTCTCTCTCTCTCACACGCACACACACACACACTGTCTTTCACACTCACCTCCCAACACATACTTGTATTATTATTGTTGTTACTTCTTAATACTTCTTTCAAAGTGTTATTTTAGTTTTTTGACTGGTCTATGCATTTCAAAATTTTTATTTCTCTCTTACACTTAAATTTAATTATTTCAGTAGTGAAATCTAAAATGCCTAACCTGTCCTGGCTGGAGTAATTATCCCTATGGTAACTTTTTAAAAATATATATTATATCTAGTTTTTTTTGTTTCTACTGGTGGTGCACATGCGCACATTACCTTGATATGGTGCACATAACAAAATTCATTCTGCACATGGATAGAAAAAATTAGAGATAACTTTGGTCTACCAGTGTCATCACATTCCCAACTGGCCAAGCTGTATGCTCAGTGTGTAATGGCCTTCTCAGAGGAATCCCTTTAGAGATCCTACTTCAGAGAATGACACGGGGAAAGATAGCACTAACCATGGTTAGGTTTTAGTAACGACTAGATAGTAGGACCTGATTCTCATTTACATTAAGGCCACTTTATACCACTCTAGTCATACAAAGAGGCCCTAAAGTGAGCATAAATTATATCTGTGCAAACTTTAAGACCCCTTTTCATGACACATGAGGTACAGGCCTACTTTCCACTGGCAGTGTGATGTACAATGGCCTTAGTGTATATATGAATCAGGCCCAGTAAAATCTCCATGTCTCAGAATACTACCTCATTCAGGGGCCACAGCATTTTTCAGACCTAGTTCATGCAGCTGCTTTGCTCAGAGAAAGAGTGAGACTAGAGAGAAGAATGAGGGGAGGAAACAAAAATTGTTCAGCTTTACATGTAACTTTCTTTTCTTTGCTTCAGGGGGTATGACATTGGTATAAGGCTGGTTGAAGACTTTTTGGCTCGCTCTGCTGTGAGGAAGTGCCGTAGCTATTCTGAAACTGTAGACGTGATTGCACAGGTAAATAAGATTAAAGTAGCTAGACTTTGGTATCCTTTGATGTCCTCAGCTTCTGGGAAGACAAGATTGGCCTCATCTCCTACCAATTCATTCCAAAGCAGAATTAGCCCGTCTACCAGTATGCTTAACTCTCCAGTCTGAAATGAAGGTGCTACAAAGCAGAAGAACAGGACAGTATGGTGTTCTTCATTTTAACACAAGCTCTCCTGGTGTTAACCAAATCAGCTCCCTTATTTAGAACTTTTTACATCCAGCTAACAGCACACAAACTTAAGTCTGCTCAGAGCGACAGCAGCAGCAGTTCTGGGTCCTGGCCTGATGAGCTCTCAGTGTGCTGTAATACTGTGTGAATTGTCAGCCTTTGAGCTCTCCCACTACATTCAAAATACTAGCAGTAGGTCCACGCAGATAGGACAATGGAGTTCTAACCAAGAGCTCGATACAGCTAAATACTTAAGCATGTGCTTAACTTTCAGGAGCAACCTTCCCATAGCTCCCTTATGCAGCACTGGCTTTTACCTATATTGCGATGACTCAGTGGGGCTACGTCTCTTGAGGAGACATTGGCTCTCACTAACATAGAATCACTGATGTTTTATTTCAGCCCAGAAATGCTTGAAAACAGGACATTCAATATAGCAGGTCCATATTCAATCACTAACCCTTTTGCTGGATCCTAAAATGAAAAACACGTCTCCACAAATGAGTCATCATAACAAAATACTGGTTCAAATAGATAAAATTCAAATATCTACACAGAGGGATGTTAACCATATGAGATTATGTGAGTAAGGCAAGCAGGACTTGACACCATGAATATGTTGTCTTTTATACCCCCACACTGAATGCAGTTGTTTTATTATAATATAAAGTTACAGTTAACAGCTTTTTAAAATATATTTAACAACAACAACAAGCACAGAGACATCTGTCAAAGGTCATACTCTAACACTCAGGTTTGCACAGATTGCTGAGTGTGTAAAACAATTATTTATGCAGGAGACACTCAATGTACATTAGTAATTACAAATATACTGTACTTATTTTTACTAATGCACTGGTATGCAGTCAACATGCATATAACTTCTCTGTCTCCTTCCAAATATTTTAGCTAGATATCACACCTCTTCTTTGTATCTGAATGAACAGTGTGTACAAGATGGCCAATGTATATTGCCTTGTGCTAAGTGCATTTCAAAAGAATCAGGTGATAAAGATATTTTATGATTCCTGTTCCTTTTTGAGGGATGTGTTTGAATTATTCAGCTGTATTTCTACTCTTGGAAGCAGCAGAAAGACACAAACTGAGACATCTTATTTTCCATGCATCTGAGGTACCAGTCACTGCACTGTCTGAGCACCTGGCAATCTTTTATATATTTATCCTCATAACACTTTTATGAGGAAGGGAAATGCTATTATCCCCCTTTTACAGATGGGGAACTGAGACTCAGAGAGGCTTACCGAGGGTCACACAGAAAATCTTTGATATAGTAGGAAATGGAGTCCCAGTCTCCTGCACCCCTGACTGGTGCCCTGAACTCTTGGACCACCCTTCCTCCTCACTGATTGTTGACTTAAATACATCCATCATATTATGCAAATTATTGTCAGGCATATTTGAACTTGTGAGAAGTTGAATCACATTTTCTAGGTGTTGACTGGAGTTTAACGTAGCTAATGTCCAGCATCAGTTTGAAAATTTACTGTAAGAAATATATTGGATCCTTGTTAAATATATACTGATTATACATAGTGATTATTAAAAATGCTTTGGTTCTGCACTATCACAATGGCCTGCTCACATACACCCAATTGTACTGGTTGAGGCCCAGGTACTTATCCAAATGGTCGTCAAGACTGAAGCTCTTTTACTGGCTATTCTAAATGGATGCAGGAGAGTGAATTTGTGTGGGGGGGTGGAGGGTGAGAAAACCTGGATTTGTGCTGGAAATGGCCCACCTGTTGATCACTTTAGATAAGCTATTACCAGCAGGACAGTGGGGTGGGAGGAGGTATTGTTTCATATTCTCTGTGTGTATATAAAGTCTGCTGCAGTTTCCACGGTATGCATCTGATGAAGTGAGCTGTAGCTCACGAAAGCTCATGCTCAAATAAATTGGTTAGTCTCTAAGGTGCCACAAGTACTCCTTTTCTTTTTTCTAAATGGAAGCAATCACAACAGATAGGGAGGACATTTCCTGCTAATGTCAGGCTGGAGGAATAAAGGGTCTGAAGTGAAGCCCAAAAATATTAAAATGAAAAGTAAAAAATGAAGTAGTTACCTTTTTATTTGTTGACAGATTAGTTCTCCCGTATATAGGGGTAATGCTGCCGGGAACAGGATCTGTAAGATTTCTGCCACCAAATGGTGCAAAGCAACCCGGGCGGACCTGCGACTCAGTCGCATTATGTGAAAAGTCATTTTAAATGGTCTCTATTGTAGTGAGAACACGTTGTAAAGAACAATATAAAGGGAGAGCTTGGCTTTTGGAACTTTAATGGGATGGCACATTCTAATGGCAAAATACATTCAAATAAAACCTTCATCCTTCACTCCTGTACTGTGCTTGGGAGGCGTTTGCTTGGTGAAAGCTGAAGAATTTCTTTGGCATCGGACTAAGGCTCCTGTTCAGCAAGATACTTAAGCCCATGCCTAACTTCAAGTCCCGTCAACTTCACTGGGACTGTCCAAATGCTTAAGAGTTAGGCATACGCTTATGTACTTTGCTAAATCAGGGCTTGACAGCACTTGTGCTGACAGGAAACGTGGAATAGTTTTGCCACGCAGTTTGAAAAATGTAACAGTTAAGCTATTTTAGATTGTTTTACTTGTTGACATGCTCTCACAGAAAAATAAATATTGGAAGAAATACCAGCCCCTTAGTTCATTTGATGCATAGCAGCTTCTGCCTTCCCCCACACATAACCCCAGTACTGCATTGGACCCATTATCCAATTACAAGATATTACAAAAGTTTTAGTAGAGTGCAAGGGCAAATGCTCTGAGTGCCAGAACTCTTGGGATGGAGACCTCTGCCTGTGCATATCATTTTTGTGTATTTTTAGACTTGATGAAAATTGCTATAATGTAACTTTAGGAAGAAACTGGGGTTTTCTGCAAAGGGAAGACTCCATGGAGGAAGACCCATCTGTAGTGGCTAAGGTTCCCAATTTTGGTTGGACATATTCCTGGAGGTTTCATCACATGACATAATCTTTAATTAAAGATTAATAAAAAGGGTCTAGAGGTAATCCCAGCAATTATAGACCAGCAAGTCTAACGTCAGTACCGAGCAAATTAGTTGAAACAATAGTAAAGAATAAAACTGTCAGACTCATAGAAGAACATAAATTGTTGCACAAAAGTCAACATGATTTCTGAAAAGGGAGATCATGTCTTACTAATCTATTAGAGTTCTCTGAAGGGGTCAACAGACATGTGGAGAAGGGGGATCCAGTGGACATAGTGTACTTAGATTTCCAGAAAACCTTTGACAAGGTCCCTCACCAAATGCTCTTACGTAAATTAAGTTGTCATGAGATAAGAGGGAAGATCCTTTCATGGATTGAGAACTGTTTAAAAGACAGGGAACAAAGGGTAAGAATAAATGGTAAATTTTCAGAATGGAGAGGGGTAATAGTGGTCAGTCCTAGAACCAATCCTATTCAACTTATTCATAAATGATCTGGAGAAAGTGGTAACGGTGAGGTGGAAAAGTTTGCAGATGATACTAAACTGTTCAAGATAGTTAAGACCAAAGCAGACTGTGAAGAACTTCAAAAAGATCTCACAAAACTAAGTGATTGGGCAACAAAATGGCAAATGAAATTTGTCCCTCGGCCCACGCCGCTTCCAGCAGCTCCCATTGGCCTGGAGCAGCGAACCACGGCCAGTGGGAGCCGCAATTGGCCAAACCTGCGGATGCGGCAGGTAAACAAATCGGCCCGGCCCCCCAGGGGCTTTCCCTGCACAAGTGGCAGAACAAGTTTGGGAACCACTGTATTATATTATAATAGGAATAGATTAGTGAAAACAATACAAGTAACATTCCATTAGGTTTCATGATGTTCTAACACCTGAATATGCTCTCCCATTAACACACACTTTGATCTAGGGCATGCATACCGGGCATGCATAATGTAAATGTAAAGTAATAGTAAACAACAAGATTTAGATAGGTGACAACAGTATGATCAACATCTCCTCTGATCTCTGTTAACACACAAGTGAATTGGCCTGACAGTATGCTAATACACTGCACTCCTTTGATATTCACACATAAGTGAATTGGCGTATGGCACTGGCCTGAGCTGGTCTGTCAGCATCATAGCATCTCATAATTATAGGAAAAGAACAGGGTCTGACTAATGGTGTTTACCAGCTTGCAAAGAAAGGGACACTGTCCCTACTCCTCACAAGCCCTCCTTATTGAACACTTTATCTAGTTCATGTGCTTTCCCCCTCCATGGTAGGTGATTCCATTTTAAGAGGTAGGGAGTCCAGAGTCGTTCTCTGGAGAAGGACCCTCTAGCACTGCCGTGGGGATTGGCGAGGGTGAGGGAAAAGCTGGGAGGCAGTCCAGAGGTGCAGGCCCTTTGCACACATGGTTTATGTCTCCAAGGGCAAACCTCACCTCCCAAAGGAACCTATCCATTGGAAACTCCAGCAGAGGAAACACGTAGGGCTCCCTGTCCTTTGTATAGGTTTCCCCAGCCTAGAAGATGACCTAGCCCTTAGTTGTTAATATGCCTATGACTTATACTTTTCAGTACCAAATCAGATTCTTATTTTGTGAATGGTCTCTTTTAAATTCCTTTCATAGCCTTAAGAGAGATTTTCAGCTGTTGCATATTGTGATGCCTGCATGATCTTTTTTCAGAGAATAACAATTAAGCAGAATTTTAGAAGAAAAGATTGTTTTATTTCCATTTTATCATTTGGTGAGGTAAATTTATGTGAGGCTTAGCACAATTATGACTGCTTGTAATGATCCATG